GACTTTTAACAAACTAAAGAAGGTTTACCAACCTGCATTTTGACTGATAAGAGTTCTCTGAAATCACACCACTGTTCCCCTCCCAGACGCGGAAATAGAAGGAGCGCAGCCAAATCGATTCCGACGGAAAACAAAAACCTGTGACTGTTTCACATGCGCACAAAAAATACCCAGCATTAAAATAACCCCCTGTAACTATCTATATAATGTCTCAAACATTTACTGAACTTATTTTTTTTTTACTGTGGTATAAAAACAAAAATTCCTGATTTTAGAAGGACTAGGAAAAAAAACGCTTCACGGGGAGGACAATAATAACAGAGACACCAAGTTCCTGTTGAGGCGCAATATGCCCATATAAGGAATGAGAGCGGAGCATTCCATTTGTGGCTGCTGAGAGCGAATCCAAACAGGTGCCGCACACACACACACACACACAGTACAATATTTACTGTGGGATGTAAAAAGGGCACACAACGCAAAGCCTCTCAAGTGTACTAAACAATAAGTGATTAGGTTATTAGAGATTCATATACGGATAGGTGCCACGTTATGCACACTATAACAGTAAGTACTGGTGTACATATTTTTTTATTCACAGATTTTCAAAGATGTTTGCATGAAACTGGTAACACAGTGAGATCCTTCCGCTTGACCGCGGTCATTTTGTTTACTTAACTTCCTCTTTTTCTTCTTCCCCTTCTTCCTCAGCTTTACACCACTGCCATCCATCCGAGCTCAAAAATAATCACATGTAACTATATATGAATATAGATATATTCTTTTTGCTGGTCTGTCACTGTTAAAGGAGGGCGGAAAGCGAACTACTCAAAGCCCCAGATTCACCCTATAGGCTATCATTTTATTTATCATTTTATTTTGGGAGCTTCATTAATGGCAACATTGCCTGTCAAGATGCACCATTAAAATATCCAAGAACTGAAGGCCTTATAGTGTGGTGTTTAACAGATGTGCCTTAGGGGGAAAAAAGGCCCAGGTTTGATCACAGGAAACCCCTTTGGGCTTACCTCAGGAAGGGCTTCCGGTATAAGGACAAAAAAAGAGAGTCCCCAGTCAAAACATGTCGAGCGACCCCTTGTGAATAAAGGAGCTGAAGTTTTATTTTCAAATGAATGGGTTGGTTTATTGGCCCCTTAAAAAAATCTGTGTTTAATCGAGTTATCATAAAGGTCGTTTGTGCTGTGGGGGTGGTTCGCTTCAAGCACATTCTGCCCACTAAAGAGTTATTTTAATGTCATACTCTGTTAACTTTTAAAAACGTTTAGAGTTATTTAGATCTGTTGTGAAACTGTTCATTCAAATGCTCACCGCTGCAACAGATTTTGTTCATCCCGTGCAACCCACAGTTAACCTTAAGTCAAGGATCCAGCAGATTGTTTGATAAAACAAGTACAAAGCGCAATCGCAGTCTGCAGTGACACAGAACAGGAGTGGAACTTTGCATGGTTCAGTTTCAACCCACACTGTGGGAGTGTCAGAGAGCGTGGGTTTTAATGGAAGCAGGTGTGAAGTGCACCTGCCGGTGGATCTGTTGGGATAATATATCCTATATTATCTCTCTATGTGTTCCTTATTACACATTTCCAGTGTTTATCATCCAGGTCCTATACAGGATACATTACAAGTCCTATAACATAAAAAGCTGTTTTCCACTCCACTGACAGTCTTTCAGTGTTTCACTTTTCACAGAAACTCTTTTGTTTTACAGTCAAACACCTGAGGGCTGTTTCACGCGAAGGTCCAATCACAGAACGGTCACTGGCTCACTACCGGAACTGGCGGAAGGGAAAGTTGGTGAAATGCGGAACAGGAGAAAATAAAGTGAAGAGCTCTCACTCTGACCCTATTTTTCACAAACTGTGCACTTTTTTTAAAAAAAACTTATTAATCAAAGTACAATGTGTTATAGCTATGTACGTTACTAACAAACCACAACTACTTTCCACTTTCCAGCTTTTACCCGGCCACCATTCACAAGTTAGACTCTGCAGAACACGTTACAGTCATTTTCACTTATTTATTAGCTCTTTAGCTCAAAATCTGCTGCGGCTGATCTCAGTAAATCTAAGTTTCCTCTCTCATGTGGAAACTTATGTGACAATCGGCAGATGTGGTTAAAAGAGTTGCAGGAGAGCCAAAGATCAAATCTAAAGCAGACTGTTTTCATAGGAATCTACTGTAGAGGGTTAATTTATTATTATTAAATTACAGTAAGTTTTTCCTGTTGAAATT